CTCATCTTGGCCTAGAGAAATTCTTTTCTTTTCTCAGCATTAGCTGAGCAACTGAGCTTTCCAAGATCTATCATGTAAGTCTTGTACTAGTGGTCTGTTTTAGCTGAATAGAATGGCATTTTCTGTTAGAGACAACTTCATTTTTAAAATGTAATATTTGGCCAGCCACATACACCTAAGGTGGCAGGCTGGAATCCAGCCCGAACCTGCCAAACAATAATGATGGCTGCAACCAAAAAAAATAGCCAGGCGTTGTGGCAGGTGCCTGTGGTCCCAGCTACTTGGGAGGCAGAAGCAGGACACTCACTTGAGCCTAGGAGTTGGAGGTTACTGTGAGCTGTGATGCCACTGCACTTTACCCAGGGGGACAGCTTGAGGCTCTGTCTCAAAAAAAAAAAAAAAAAATTAATATTCACAACCATTTGGGACCAGAAGGTTGGGGCAGAGTTTTTAAAACTGCCCTTGTGTAAGAATTTGGTCTGTTGAGGCAGCCAAGAATAGATACTGGTCAGGCTGGTTTTGACGAGCTTGTTTGTGTCTAGAGATGGGTTCTTGTGATGAGGCTGATTTCTGAGTCTACTCCGGCCTAGAAAACGGGGGATCCCTGTTCAGCTTTGAGCAGGGGAACCCTGTATCACTTACACTCCTCCGTTTGTCCAGAGAAGACAAAATAAGCAACACCGCACCACATACCATGCCCAAGGGCTCATCTGACGTGCGCTCAATACTGAAAGAATGACGAATATTAACCCCTACCTTATTATACTGCTAAAATTCCCACTCTGGGAGAGACTTATCCACAACTTTTTGATTATGGAATATCTGTTCTAGTGTGATTTTCCACTGTGCTTGCCTGCCCTGCACTCCACTCTAAATAAACAACAATGCTCACTCCCCTCATGCATTATTCATTTAATCTCCAGGAAAACTTCTGACCCTGTTTGTTGGAGAGGCAGATTTAAGACAGTCCCTACCACCCACCTGAGCAGCTGTTACCAGACAAGAGGGTAGGGCTGCCTGTCACCATCAGCCAGTATGCGGAAACGAGGATAGATCCACCAAACTTTGTCAGAAGGCTGGTGATTCTAGAGGACAGTGAGAGTAGCTTCTCCAAGATGTTCTGTTCTTCCATTTTCAAAGTCATAGTTTTATACAGGATGGCCATAAATTGCACTTGAACTTTATGGCCACCCTGTACATAAAAGTTCAGAGCAAAGACCACATTAACTCTTATTTTAAATAATAATCAGCATAACTCTGTGACCTATTTCAACATTCCACTTCAAAAGTTAATCTAAATCAATCCTCCTAAACTACTCAAAATAGGCATCTTTAGGGTGGGAGCTAAATTTACAAAGCAATAAGAACAGAGGCAGGTGGGGGGGGCGCCTATGGCTCAAAAGAGTAGGGCGCCCGCCCCGGAGGTGGCAGGTTCAAACCCAGCCCCTAGGCCAAAAACTGCAAAAAAAAATAAAAGAATAGAGACAGGAGATAAAGGTGACTTAGGACCTAAAGCCACCAGACCAGCTGTGCCATGTTGGCCCTGGCCTTTCTGACTCCATCTTATTCTCACTATATGTGCTTTCACAACACGCAACCCCTTGTGGGTTTAGTAACAGAATCACAAATTTCCATTTTACTTTAGAGAATCGAGACAAATGCTTCAGAACACTTGTTTCTGAGTTAAGACCTCTTAGTCCCATATATTTCAAGACTAGCCTCCAGACAGATCTGGTTACATGAATCTTGTGTAGAAAGAAAAGTATTTACTGATTGGCCAGCTGCTAAAACTACATCGTAAAATAAAAATTACAATAATAGTGGTTTAGAATATAACATACTGGTTACAGACATTTCTGGTTACCTAGGACTTAACCAGCACTATATCCTACATCTTGTTTACCCAGCCTGACACATTAAATGCTCAATGTGTGTTATATGTTTCTTTAAATGAACCTTATAATGGCTGTGCCATTTAATGGTTATTTAATCTTGGCCAAACCACTTAACCTCCCTGGGCTTCTGTTTCCTCATTTGTAAAATGGAGGTTAATAACAACATCTAATATATTTTTATGATGGCTGTAATCAGTAGACCCTTTTGTTCAAACACATCAATATTGCTTTCTTCCCAATTGACTCATTTTGTAGCTACAGCTCCAAAACCAAACAAGTAGAAAAGGGAGACAGGAAAGTCAGAGGTGGGAAATGGTAAGGAGTACAACAAGGCATGAATATCAACACCTCTTTTTTTTTTTTTAAGTGATATCTTGATATCTTGTCTTAGAGCAAATAAAAGGATATAGCTCCTTCATTTATTGTAAAAAAAAATTCCTGAAAATGTAAATTCTTATATAAAATCATAAACCTCAAAAGTACAATTAATTGAGCTGAATTTAATCTGATATCAGCTGACTTTTCAGTCATTTGCCTTTGCCTGTTGGTATAACAGATAAAGGCAGAAACCCTGGATTAGGAGTCTGGAGATAAAGTTAGCTGAGGCTCAGCTATTACCGGTGTAGTCCTTGTTACAAGTTCCTTATCTATAAAACAAGCCTGTTAAATTAAATGAGCTTGGCTTGGTGCCTGTGGCTTAAGTGGCTAAGGCGCCAGCCACATACACCTAAGGTGGCGGGTTTGAATCCAGCCC